GCGAAGATTTAATAAATATTCAATATAATATATTATACTTTCTACTTTGCGTAGAGGTCTGTCTAATCTTTTCGGTATCTATTATTTTTAGTACGAGTATATTGTAGACTTATCTGTTTAATAAGGCGAAGATTCAATAGATATTCAATTTAATATACTTTCTATCTTGCGTAAGGGTCTGTCTAATCTTTTTGGTATCTATTATTTTTAGTACATTGTAGACTTATACATTGTATAAGGCGAAAATTTATTAGATATTGAGACATCAAAATTTCACAATATACAAATATATCTTATCATTTATTAATAATAGTATTGAATAAAGTATTTAGTTTTTTGTTATAACTTTTTAATTATTATAGTCATATTTATACCTCCGTTCACACATACTTTTATATATATTTCATATATATTTTGTTAATAACTTTTTAATGAATAACGAGCGAAAATCACCTGAAGGTCACTTAGAATCATGGCCTTAACAACATATGTAAAGGTCAAGGTCATTAAAGTAGCCTCCCTTCATCGGTATATTTAGCAAAAAATGTTTCAGACAAAAGTTATAGGATAAGAAGGATAAATAATAAAAAAATTAATTTCACAAAAAATCGATTTTTCAAGATGTTTTTTCACTTTTTTAAATAGAAATTAGAATGGTATGATTTTTTTTTAATAATATGATTTCTCTAATTATTCTACATATAAAAGTATTAAGGTAAAGTTATCGAAAAATCAATACTTTATGATATTTAGTATTATACTTATGCCATTTCGACATAAAATATAACTATTGATTTCTTTTGATAATTGTGTCTTAGTACTTTTATGCACAGAATAATAAGACGAATTGATTGACGTAAAGAAAACACAGTTGCTTTGCAAAACGATATGCAATTTTTACATATGTGCATAAAAATATTAAGGTACAATTATCAAGAAATCCATAGTTTATAAGATATTTTATATTTTATGTCCAAATATGACATAATAAGTATAATTAAATATTATAAAGTAATAATTTTTCGATAATTTTATCTAATACTTTTATATGCAAAATAATTAGAGGAATCATACTAAAAAAAAAATCATATTATTCCATTCAAAAAAGGGACCTCCGTGTGATTTTGAAAAAGCGATTTTTTTAATAAAATTAATTTTATCATTTGTCCTCCTTCATACTCTATAATTTTGTCTAAAACATTTTTTTGTATTTTTCGTATTTTTCGAGATATTTAGACGTGACAAGTTGACACATTCTATACATATATTTAAACATAAGTAACATAATCAACGAAAGTAATAATGTCATAGATCATTAAACAAAAGTCACAATATTAAATATATTGTAATACGTTTCGACCTTTAAATAAATGGTCATTTTTAATATTTAAATTGATTGTGATTTATAAAAATACAACTAAAAATAATGTCGCCTACGTGTATGTATTTTTTTCAATTTTTCTTTGTTTCTTTCAATCATTTTTATGATCGGCGGGATCGGGCAAATGTCATAAGATTATGACATTTCACAAGTAATTAGTCAAATTGAGCATTCGTCTATTTATTGTCCACCAAAATTGATTATAATTCTCTCTGTAATTTCAAAGTTTATTTTTAATTGGATCTAATATCTTACTATAAACATATTTTTTTATTACTTTCGTTGATTATGTTTATTAATATATGTATTAGCCCAAATATCTATCTTGGTTTATTAACCCTTTTGTTATTGATTTTGAATTTTATATGTGTGGGTCTAATCCTATGTATCCAATTAAATTTTAAGTACTTTTTTCTTACAATGACTTTTAAGAGAATAGTCTAGTTTAGAGAGCTGATTTTAAAGGTATTTTTTTATGAATAAAAATTCAAATATATGTACTTAAAAAATTATACAGATTTATAAAATACATACAGTGTACACAAGGCGTCACAAATGCCTACCCATCTGAACTTGCAGGGATACTAACCCATGTATATGTATTACATATATGTATATACAATAATATATACGTATATGTGCTTCTGCAATTTCAGATGAGTAGGCATTTGTGACGCCTTGTGTACATTAATAGTTTCAATTTTTTCACTTTCATCATCTCTCTTTATCCATCTACTTTCACAGATAACTTTGTGTTCCTGGTCACATATTTTAATTTCTTTTTACAAGTTATGTTACATGTGCAGCGATAAACCAAAGACCTTCATTGTTGAAATTATACCGGTGAACGTAAAATAAAAAAAAAACGAATTCCCCTTTCTCCGCGCTTCCCGAGATCAGACAGGACTTTAGTTTAATTAAAAGTAGTCCGTCTTGCAGTTACGAGATAGAAAATGTTTTTCTTTGGAGAGAGAAAAATTATTCATCGCGTTACGCGCGTTACACCGATTCGTGTACGGGGAAACGTATAAACAAAAAAAAGATGCATGTGTACGTAATGTGCAACAATTATATAAAAATATACAGACAAATCTTGAATCTTTTGGGCTACGAGCAAAATTGAAAATTTTCAGCATCCAATTCATCGTGTCGTTGAAAGCCACTCTCTCTCGTTGTTTACCGATGATCGATCGACCTGGACTCGGAACCACCTTTATTTGTAGCCTCACTAGTCGAAAGAGAGAGAGAGAAAGAAACACGAATGAAGAAACGATAAGATCATTTATTTCCACGATACTTTGCAGGTCTTATAAGATGTTTAAACGTCTCACACAGTAACTCCTACGCTTCGTCAAAATAAAACCCAGAGGAATAAATTTTCCGATGTTGGGTTGTGTTTCGATTATTCTTGCAATTGCAACTGTCCATTTACCCTTTACTGTTAGGATCATTGATATTTATCTCTTTCTTTTTTTTTACGAACTGGGAATTAACAAAATTACTGCCGATCTGTGTTTCAGGCTGTGTCGGATCTTTTGCTCGGTGTATTCTGTATGCCCTTCACTCTCCTGGGTCAGATTCTCAAGAATTTTGTTTTCGGTCTCACAATGTGCAAGCTGATACCGTATTTTCAAGGTAAGCATCAGCTCGTCGTTTTCAGGATAACATAAAAATTGGATATTATTGGAAAATGGACGTCCAATTTCTCCCCATCATCTCATCGATGAAAGAAATTTTTGTGAATCCCTGTACGTATACGACGGTGTAAACGGCGTCGTGAAAATCGCGAAAATGATGTTTATCGCTTATTCTCTAAGATATCATATTCTGCGAGACAGGAAGCCGAGATACAAGTGAAAAATTTATTAAGTAGAGGATTACCAAGTAAATAAAGGTAATCGTTTTAAACTGTATCAACAGTCGTTCCATTTCAACCTGTTAAAGTGATAGTGTGTCAAAGATTTCTGTTTTAAGAAATTAAATCGTTATTTTGCGAATTTAAGCGAGAGCTAAAAACAACTAATTTACTTGATAAGAGAATAATTATTTATTCAAAATTTATCGTACGGAAAATTCAGCCAAAGCAGCTGCCACGATATATTTTTTAGTATTCAGCTCTCTTTTAAAAGGCTTTTAAAAGGAAAATATTTTTGTGGACGGTCAAAATATAGATACTTGTTAATAAATATTACAAAAGAATTAAACAGGCACAATAAACCGTTTTCCTTTTACCAGTATTACAATTTAAACTTTCTAATTAATCGTATTTAATTATTCGTAGATTTATATAAATGTGTATAAAAATTTCATTTTCATTAATAAATGTTAGGTTTGTCAATGAAAATAGAATTTTATTAGCTTTTGCACAAATATTTCTGGAATTTTCAGTCACATTTATAAGTGGTCTAGTTAATTTTGACATAGAAATTCATAACTTTATTATGCACAAATATTAGCATAAATGTTGCAATACTGGCACAATTGCGAGCATTTTCTCATAAAAGAGGTGCATATTCCACAAAATAGCTTTATTCACATGTCTGTGAATTAATAATTCTTTTGTTTTTTATTGTAAAAAGTACAATTATGTCGTGTTTGTCGCATTTACACAAATGCTTTTACAAAGAAATATTAGATAGATTTCATATATGTACATATATACGTGCGCGTATATGTGTAAATAACAATTTTGAACAAAAAATAAAGATAAAAAAGTAAATTAGAGTAACGTATCTGTGAATTTAAATTAATTTCTTCACTCGTGTAAATTAACACGCAGAACGGACTATTCGTTGTTCGAGATGGTCTCAATCTGTGGCGATGATTGTATCGATCGTGTGAACGCCACGCCGTTATCACGGATGAAATTGAATACACCTGCCACATAACAAACTTCTGTGTATCTCAATTAAATTTTCGATCAGTCTTCCGCAGATAGCTCGTTTTCTTTGGCGACTGGTCTGACTTAATTTGCGGTAGTAACTGCGCCAGAAAAATCGGAAGATTCTTTTTCGTAATTTGTTTGCGCTTTTCCGTCTGTTTCTCTCGAAGGGAGACAGAGAGAAATGTCGATTGCAAGTTAAGACTGTGCACCCTGCGCCGTGCATAATTTCTGTTTTATATCCTCGAAAGTTTCACCGAAGCTCGTCAGTATTCAATTACATGGCGCAATTGCTTAGATGACCACGCGAAAATAAAATACGTTCGGTAAATCAATTTAATTTCTCCTCTGTCCGAGCTCTCTTCCACTGGAAAAATTACCCATTTTAATTTCAAAGAAATTGTTCTTTTAATATTAATAATTAATTGTATACATGTATATACTACGCATAATTTCAACGTAAATAAAAATTGTGTTGTATATATAGAGTAAAGGATTATAAGAGCATTTATTAGTACATTCATTTGTCTCTTTCGCTTCAAATATCCATCGTGATCTAAATTCGTCGTTTTTCAACGTTCGCAGAGACATAAATCTTCATCGACATTGAATTTCCGCTTGAAAGTATGGCAATGTACATAGATACATAGTACTTTGATAAGCCAGTTGTCAAAGTACACGTGGTCCATATCCGAAGCTCTTACGGAAATCGCTTCTACTATATGCAATTTTAAGATCGCATATCGAAAGGAAAAGAGGGAGATGCGAGGGTAAAATGCGACACCATTAGAGAAACATTCTCGAAAGCGTCCGCCGCGTCTTTGTCGACGCGTAATAACATTTCCGAATAATGGCATGATGCATGGAGTGCTAGTACAATTTCGTGTATTTGACTTGAAAAATTGAGTTACAGTCGTGAAATCTGGTATATAAGACTTCAGTAAATTATTTACGCTAATATAAATTCTCTATTTATTTAATCATATACGTATAATAAATAATGAAAATATTATCGTGTAAGTTAATATTATCGTTGTTCGTTACTTACGCGAACGTAATTTATTTTTTAATGCGCGCGATTTCTTTGATGTATGTGTGATTTAAATCTATTTAATATTTCATAACATAAACGCGCGTGTTCAAGCCACTAGATCTCTGATGTGACGATCAATCTGCTACCAACGCGATACTCAAAGAGCTTGTTGCTGTCAGGCGTGATATATTTGCTAAGCGAGCAGCAAATTACCATTGCGCGATGCATATACACGAGTGACTGCAGTGATCTAATGCTAATTTTCTAAGTTGCTACATACGCAGTTCACATATGAGAATAGTAAATACGTATCTATATTAATTTCTGTTATGCGGTAACATAATTCACCTATGAGGTAATTGTAAATAATACTATATCAAAAAACATATAGTAACAATTTAGAAATATTTTTCTCGAACTTTTTACTCTTTTTAAACATTTTTTTATTTGTATACATATGTTTTTGGATATGATTGATATATTTGCACAAATCTCAGCAGTAGCCATTTCTCTCTTATAAAAGACAAACACTGAAATATTGATTTATTTCTCATATTGTTTATTTCTCATATGGTCTCCCCAGAGTATTATATATCTGATGATATGACCATAATATGTATATATTAGTTATTAAAATATTTTGCACATATCTGTTGATTATAATAATAAACTATTCTCGATTATTGGTCCACACAATTAAATTAAATTATTTTATTAAATTAATTTAATTTATTTACATAATAACAAAAACCATTTTACGTATACAGAGTATCTCCGTAATTAATTTGCTAAATTTTAGAAGCACCGTTCTTTATAAATTTTAAGAAAATTATTTATATATATGTATTATTGAGAGAGAGAGAGAGAGAGAGAGAGAGAAACAGAGATGGAGGAGGATATATTTTTATCTGTATATTATTTTACATTACTATAGCTCATTAAATCTTGTTGAATATTATTCCCCGCGTATTAAAGAGCCCGGCAACAGGATATTGTGGAATTATGCTGTTCCACGAGAATGACTAATGCGCGCCGGCGGACTCGAAGTCGAATTCCCGTTGCGGGAGAGATATCGTCCCAAAAGAGACAATCCCGGCGCGCACGCATATCTACCGTGTATTATAACCGTTGCGTTCGCGTTCGCAGAATTTAAACGCACGATCGGTGATCGTTTTCGGAAATATCGCGCCTCGAATGTTTCCCGATAAAGGAAAACGATCGTTGCGTACTTCGATGATCACGCAAACCTTTATTGCCATTCTCGTGGGATACTTGTTCAGGTGCATATAACGCGCTATTAAAGTTCCGTCTTACGCCTCTTGATCCGCCGATATTCAGAATCGGACGTGAGATAAAGTATGGTCCGACGAAATGTTCAGTGTTGTTTCACTGAATTTCGTCAATAATTTCCATCTGCCGCTTACTTTTATATCTCTCCCTTCCAATCTTTATTGTACTTACATTGGATTTCGGAGTCATACGATACGATCGCAGTTGCGCAGCTGTAAAACTGTATATCGCAAACCGTAACTTTTCGTACCAACGTAACACTAACTTGAGTTTAGATACACCGTGCTTATTGGCCGAATAAAAACGAGAATCAAAAGTATAAAAATTGTCGTGTATCACTATTTTATTGAGAAATTTTATTCCCGTGGGTTTTATGCTTTTTTCAATGGATTGTTCACACAGCATGAAAATCGTAGATTTTAGAGAACACACACACACACACACACACACACACGCGCGCGCGCGCATACGTTACGCATATGTAGGATAATCTTCTTTCCGGCGAGAAAACCTGCCTTGAAATTGAAATCGCATGAACGTTTTTCGTCGTGTCGTAGATATTCCTCAAGACAGTTTTATTGTCAACGGCGTAAGCGTAGGATATAATCGTCCTTTTTTTTCCCTCCAACCCCGCGGATTATACGTGGTCGGCCCACGTCTCGGGAACGACCCAAATTCTCTCTTCTCACTCGTATAAAACAAAGGCTTTAACGGCGACCTTTTACAAATAAAGCAGTGCGACGTACGGAAGCATAATGTAACGAAACCGTTCGTGAAGAATTTCCATATTCCGTACGTGCACTATTTTCACTTAATGAGCAAGCTCCGTGCCGCGGCCGTATTAATTCGTTACATTAATAACGTCGATTAATATGCGTCAGTAACACGAAGATCCAAATGTCTTTATGCAAATTTTTGCAAGAACGTGATCGGCTTGGCTGAAACGATAGGCATTATTGCGTATTTCAGATACATGTTATTGCAATACTCGCTATACGACGTTCCGTAAAGTAACAAAATGTCATAATTTCTATCACTGCGCCCCGCTGTCGCAACGGCACTGACAGCACGTGTTCTCTCGGTCGGTATTACTCCAACGAAAATAAAAAAAAAATTATGATTTAAGATAACTTCGCCACGAAGTGCGTTTTCCTTCCGGCTTGGAAACGGGAGGTGCGAACGCGGATGTGCAGTGGCAATGTGGCAAAGGTCACAAGCGTATTAGGATGAATAGATGCACTTTCCGTTCATCTTACTGTATGAAGGCTTATGATAAAGTATATTCAGGAAGAACAGCGGAAATTTATGGAACATATTGGTGCTCTAGAACGATGCACAAAAGGTCCTACGTCTTTCTCGATTTAGCCAGCCAGTATGTTCTCCGTCGATCTCACGTGGCGTGTGCTTTCGCGCAATTTATATCAATAAAGACGAAAGTGACGAAGGATTTTAGTTTCTCGCGATATAGCAACACAACTAGCAAACTTTATAAGTGAATTTGTGCAAACATATAAATGACAAGTCTAAAAATTCTACAGCACGCACGTAATTATTAATTATAATGTCTAAATGCAATAAAATTTTAATTTAAGTAGCAAAATAAATTATACAGACAGTAATGTTTGAAAAACTAAAATAGTTAATATCAACATTTAAAAAGGTTCATATTCTTAAATTGTTCGTACTTTAAAAGTTCAGTTCTACTTCCATTTAAATTAGGAAATTCATAAAGGAAGATTCTTTCTTAAAAGAATAATTCTTACGTTCTTAAAAGAACGTAATAAAACGTAGTACGTTAATTTTGTTAACTTTTCGATTGTGTCACTCCTCTGCGGAAATTATCTTCCGGACAAATTCCTTACATCCTCTGTTCTTTCAAAGTGCATAATTAATTTTTTGCCATAATTAAAGCAAATTAACTCACAATATAGTCACGCCTCTGTTTATCTTTCTTTTTAATAAGTCAAGAGAATTTTTTCATAATTAAACAGCGTACAATGTAGGAAACACTTGTTCCTAAAATTCCAAAATAATTAAAAATGTCGTAATTAAAGACAAAAGTCTACTGAACGGAAACTAGATGGGAAATACGAGAAAGTGTTTGAATAAGAACCACGATTGTTCGCAGATTGAATGAATAATTCCCAACTGAATGAAAACGTATGCACATTTTAATGACGCTAGCCGTGCTGATCGAATGGAAAATTTATGTGAAGCGAAGTAATTTGTACCTTCTTGAAAGTCGATACCGCATTGCGCGTATTTTAAAAATTAAAAATAATTAGAACGTGGGTAGATTGTGCGATTAAAAATAATTTCGAGGTGGGTAGACGACAATTATCCGCAGTCCGATCATACTATTTTTATCCCATTTCTCGCGCATTATCTTTTGACAACAAATTCTTTGGTCAAATCGAGATTGACTTTCTTTAGCGAGAACATCGAATATGTACTGAAAAGGAAAAAAAAGCCTGTCGCGAACTAAACTTTAAGAAGCAAAATGAATAACAAAACTGTATAATTCTTTATAGTTAATTTTAAATAAAATTTAATAAAATATTGATTTGACTTCGAAGAATATTTACATAAATCTATAAAAAGTTGCAAAGTTATGATAAAAGCTAACTTTCTTCGATATTTCTGCCAAGAAGAAGCTAAATCGAAATCGGTCAAAGAATCTGTGGGAAATAATGCCAGAAATAGAACGCTCTGTATAGATGTAGAAGCGCTTTAAATTTCGATTTAATACGTATTTTCAATTTTATTTTCTCGCTAACGCACAATGGTAGTATCCACTTTCGCGGTGATGCTGCATTACAATCGGACTAAATTGCAATAAATGAATAACGCATTTTCCAATCAGGCGAAGGATATTCGATAAAATCCCATATAGTTTCATCCTGATAAGAATTTCCTGTTAATAACCTTGACACGAAACATTTCGCAAGTAGGTCGCGGCCGCGAAAGAATTTCGTAATTGGATTCGAGGTCACGTCGGGAATGTTCCTCTCTTCCTCCATCTGTGTACGAAACTGTACGTCGTGAAAATTGTTTGCCGACACTTTTAAGTCGAAAACTTCTCCATTCGCGGCCTTTGTACGACCGATAGCTATATGTGAGACGAAAGCGGACCCGGAGTAAAAGAGCTCTCCTCTGCAGCAGGAGTGCATGTCACGTGCGTTCATTTTTTGCAACGTACACCGCTGGTCCAGATAGTTAGCTCCAACCGCTCCGGTTCTATTATTGAATGTCGTACTCCTTTCCATCATCGACAATTGATATTTTTTTTGTCAACGATCGGACGTGTTCTCATAGTGTTCGCTCGACGTTGTCCTACATCGAAAGAAAATGGAAAATATACTTCTTTTTCTTCCCTATATATTCCGAGATAATTAAATTTATCGATGTATTTTTAATTTCAAGCTGAATATGAATCAAAGTGCATATTACAAATCGATCGACTGTCGATACTTTGTATCACGAGAAGTCGTATTAATTTTTTTTACTGCCCCAGATAGACTATCAAATTTTACAAAAAAATAAACGACTATACTCAAAATAAATAAAAGTTCTATATCCGCAGATAATAAGCAGATAATAAGTTCTGCTACGCGATGGAACGCAATGCGATTTAAATTTGATACGCTTTTTTCCAGCTGTGTCAGTATCGGTGGGCGTCTGGACGCTGGTGGCCATTTCGCTCGAACGCTACTTTGCCATTTGCCGACCATTAAAATCGAGACGATGGCAGACACAGTTTCACGCTTACAAAATGATCGCTGTTGTGTGGACTCTTAGTCTCACATGGAACGTGCCGATTCTCATCGTGTCCCAACTAAAAAATTTAAGCGGAGGTAAGAGGAAAAATGTTGACATTACACAAATGTCATCGCATTTTTAGGTAAATACAAAGCAATAAGCTGAACAAATATAAAAAAAAGTAATTAAAGAATTTCACATTTCGTATTTTAACAACCCGAGAACCGAAGATTACACTGCAAATCCAAGTGTGTAAATCTGTAGCCACTTTTTTACGCATTTATACGCGTGCTATATTTGTACAGATTTTATCTACAGTGTTTTACACAGTTAAATGCATATTTTTCACACGCTTGCACATATTATTGTAAAATTAAGCGTGTAAAAAATATGCATTTAACTGTGTAAAACACAGATAAAATGTGTAAAAATATAGCACGCGTATAAATGCATAAAAAAGTGGCTACAGTACACACACTTGAATTTGCAGTGTACATATTAACTTGTTTTCTTGATATGCTTTTCTTATTAATTAATTCGCGAATAGCAATCAATTGAAATAATTCGTAAATATTTAAACGTTACGGAATATAGGTACATTTTAATGTGACATGTTTGTAATATTTGTTGCAATTTGATTTGTTACAATCGCTCGCCAGATTGAAACTCGAGCTTTTACAGCCATATACTGTGACATTTTCATCTCAATTCAATACCAACATCCACCCTGGCCCCTTTTTCTGAGAAATTCTTTCACCGGTATAGGCAGCTTATGCATATACATAATATCCAACTAGTAGAATATTGAGTTCTCTGCAATATCGAACATCTATTCTAAAAAAATTATAGGCCGTTTCCGTGATGAAAGTTTATTATGCTTTCCGATTGAAATAAAAAACGTTTTCAATTTAGTGTTTTAAAGAAAATATAATAACAAATAAGTTAATACTAGCAATTTGTTTTATATTGATTGACTATATTTATTTAATATTAGTCGCTTTCCAAATTTATTTGTTACGTAGAAATTTATTAGAAATATATTGAATTATAGAATATTGCTCTTTGAAAGTAAAGAATTCAATCAGTAATATTTTTAAATCAAACTAATAAAATTAATAGGATATACGATTACGATTGTCAAGACAGCATTGTGGATGTTTACGTTGACCTGCGAAATTCCTGCAATACTAATCACTTGCTTTGACGTTCGTTTCTCAAACTTGATATTGAGATATTGAAAGTCAACTGCGCAGCAATATCAATATAATCGATACCATATGTGACTTACTGAGCTCAATATTGAGGCAATGAAAGTCAATTGCACAGCAACATCGATATATTATCGATTTAGTGTATATGCATGCAAAAGGATATTGGATGTAACAAGACGTACATTTACGTTTTAGTGAGTATAAATCTCGCGTGTAATTTTATCGTGATAAAAAATCACGCAACTTTTTGTTTGTTAATAAAGTTTACAAAAGAATATCTAATTTTAATTAATGGCTTTAATTAACGGCTACATTTAAGCTTTCGCGTGAAGAAATACGGGATTAGATCGCTCCGTATTTTAACCACATACCTCGTGATTGTTCTCCGTTGGGAACATGTAGGAGGTGTGAGAACGTAGCCGCGCGTGTACGATCCCTCCTCTCTCGGTTACACCGGGACTTCGGTACGTTTTTACGGCCGAACGGTTGAAAAATTTTTTCGCATCGCGTGGCAATTTTAGGAAGGCGTAAGTGTCGCGAGGAATGGCCGAGCGTCGGCGCCGAGAGAGCGTACAACCTCTTCCTGGACGGCACTCTGCTTCTGATACCGCTGCTGCTCATGAGCCTGGCTTACTCGCTGATAGCGATAAAACTTTGGCGCGGCCTGAAGCTCGAGATACGACAGTCATCGACGTGTACCAGAAGACGTAAGTGAAGTGTTGCTTCAATACTGGGAACATAGGTGTGACAGTGCCAATTTTCGCGTCGGATTCTGCTGTGTCGGCATCTCGAGGGCCTTGGAAAAATATTTCCCAAAGCTGCCGCCACGTCAGTCTCACTTTATTTTATGCTGATTTTGCTGCGAAGTCTAACGGACGGAAACTTTATAAGAGACAGAATTACATAGCGCTACAATAACATTTAATTATTGATACGCACTTATTAATAACTATTAAAAGAAGAATTTGGAAATTATATTGCATTCTGTTTTTGCAAATATTTTTAAATAAAACGGAAATAGCTCATTTCTGGATATAAAATTAAAGGTTACGAAATATGCGCATAGGGTTACTTTTTTTTTCTTTTCACATAATCTGTATTAAAGTTTTGATCTTTGTAAACGTATAAATTACAGTCGGAAGAACGGAATCTAACGCAACGATTCGGGGCTCAAGTTACAACAACAATAATGATCGGGATGCAAGGACGACGATGGTATTTGATGCTTGCGGCCCGACTTCGAGATCGCGGCGTGGCTTTTCGTCTTCCTCGAGACACTTCCAAGGCGCTTCTCAAGGTGCACCATCTAGGGTGAGAAAATACTGAGCAAACATCACCTTGGGATAGAAATTCGGATTATCACGATCTATATTACGTAAACCGACGAGGGCCAGAAGTGAAACGCATTAATTGCTTAAATCATTTGATCTATAATAATATTATTCTCTCTTGACTCTGCAGTCATAATGTTGGACTTGCGAGATCCGGATCAAAGTTGTGAATTCTAATACGGAAAAGCGTCGAGAGAAATCAAAAATTATATCGTTTTACTAATTTTCGTAACACATAAATATTTTGCTAAGAATTTTTGTCATATGCAAAAAGAGAGATCTTAAATTTTATCACTGCGAAGCTTAATACAGCTAAAATGCGTAATTAAAACGTCACATTCAATAAATGTGTAAAAAGCATATTTGTATTAATAATATTGTAATTATTCTCGAGATTAATACTGAATTCTATTTTCATTACCACATTATTAATATACAAACAAGACCGGTGGTTTCGGCTGTAATTTACGAGAGTGACCAGTGCATCATTAACTTCCCTCGTCTAATTGAGATTTCATGATCCAATGAAACGGCCCGCGGCTAGATGTCAGATAAATTTGCGTAATTAGGATGGCAAATTAAATTGTCTACCGTCTCGAGAACATTCCGGCAGCATGTGGTTAACCAAGATATCGCGTTTCTCTTGCTCCTTTTCCAAAAGAAGGTGCGGTTACCACGGACGGTGGTCTCCAGGGTGCTCACTGGCAAGTGTCACGGTACAGATTTGTCCCAGGCATCCCGGATTCAGATACGGGCGAACGGAAGTGGCTGCTTAGCGCGCGACACGAAGGATATCATTAACGAGGATCAGCAGGACTCGCCCTGTCCGCTCACCAGACAACACGTGATACGCAGTAATTACATGGGGAAGAGCATCGAGGCGAAGAAGAAGGTACGTGCACGGGGGAGTACTTGATTGATCGAATTGGATTGCGACTTTAGCGGGGGCGAACAACAATTTCCGTATCGAAAACTTAATGCGGGATCACGTGTGCGCCTTGCATGCATACAAAGCGCGCATTGTAAGTTCCCCACCGTAGCGTTCGACGCTTTCTCGTTTCTCGGAAATCGTGGGATCTGGAGCAAGCGTCGGAAAAACTCGCCTGGTTGCCTGGCCTGGCCTGGCCTGGTCTGGTGCACGCCAGGTGGCCGCAAGATGTTTATCAGCGCTTCGTGGCTATATTAACCTTTTATTATCCACTTGGAGAGCGCGACTCTCCCTCCCAAAGAATCCTATATTCCTACTTTGCAAATACGGAGCACACGGACCGTAATATTTTTCATATATATATATATATATATATATCTGCACGTAAGACGATTTAATCCCGCATACCGCGCGCACGGGACACGTTGGTCATGCTATGCTCAAGCGGGCCGACAATCGTGGTGCCGTGGAACACTCAACACACACCGCGACACAATGCCGCGCTTGCATTCTGAATACGAATCCCGGTCACCACCGAGAGACCGAGGTGACCGCGTGCTCGTCCATTGAACGCGACATACCGCTGGTGGTTGCAGGTGATCAGGATGCTCTTCGTGATAGTCCTCGAGTTCTTCGTGTGCTGGGCGCCGTTGCACGTGATCAATACGTGGTACCTTTTCTCGCCCGAACTGGTGTACTCGGTCGTCGGCAGCACCGGCATCAGCCTGGTGCAACTGCTGGCCTACGTCTCGAGCTGCTGCAACCCCATCACGTACTGTTTCATGAACAGAAAATTTCGCCAGGCATTCCTCGGCCTCTTCGACTGCCACCGCTGTTGGAGGTAAAATCTTGACGAAGCCGTACGATGCGTGTGCGTTCTTACAGTTAAACGGCGGCGACTTAAAGGAGTTATCACGGACGTAAGGTGAAGCTTCACCGTGCGCAAATCGGTCCTCTTTGCGAGTTGTACCATTTGGCTGATGGCGCGCGGGATTAATTTCACGGAAGATACGTCGAGCTCCCGCGGCCGGATAGAAAGACTTGCAATTACGTAACAGCCGTTTTCACGTTAAGCCCCAAACTTGTTAACGCGTTCCGCTCGCTCTTACTTAGACAAAAATCGTAAAGTGGCAAAGTTTGTTCTGCGAAAATGCTTTTAAATATAGAACGAAGTTGAAATTGTGAAATATGCGGAAGTATGCGCGTAAAAGTCTTAGCGTTTGGCTAACAAACTTTGCGTGATACGTAGATATTTAAAAGTAGCTTTCGGCGCGAAAGGGGAGGATTTATTGATTCAATTGCAAGATTTAAGGGGAAAGTCGCACGAGAGTTAATGTCCGGTACAAACGTCGCACGCCGTTTTTAAGCCGGAAATAAACGTTTACGTAAACGGGCATGCGTTTTATTTTAGGGTAGGTTGCAGACACAGCGACATCGCAATGGCGGCCACCGGAAACGCCGGGCAAGCTGGCAATAACAGCGAATTAAGCGGAAACGACTCGACAGTGTATCTGGGCAAAGCGTCCCTCGTCGCCAGATCAGGTATCATCGCACTGCTAAATTGATCATTTCATTATCGTCATATTATATTCCCGGATCCGGTTACAACACTAACCTAAATTTCCAAGATTCTATTATGATACCGTGATATTGCGCGATACCATGCATGTATATTCACACAACGGCCAAGGATTCCATCAAATTATCTTATAGTATTATATGCGATGTGATAACATTCAAGGCTTTGTCATTTTACCGCATGACATTTTAAGAGATTTCTAACTTGATTTAAATTAACATATCGATTTTAAATTCTATTCATGCCGGAAATATGAATAAAACGAACATTTTCCTCTCGTTTGGTCCGGTTGATAATAGCTTACTAAAGCACTAACTGATCGATAATGGTCCGCCGCGGACATCCGTTGGTTCTTCGTGGCACACGTTGGAGTTCCCGCGATGTAATTTCCACAGATACTGGGGTTTATATTAACGATATATATACATATATATATACATATATATATATATACATATATATACATATACACGCACCATACGTTTCCCTAAACTTTTGAATGAACACAATTAGTCCTGCTCTAATTCCTACTTGTCCAAAGCTTAATTATTACCCATCTCATGCGAAAATGTTCTCGGTCCAATAATAAAATGACAATAAAATATAAAGTTACATAATACAGTATTTAATATTTTTAACAAATTTTCCACAAATAATATAGAAAAACAAAAGCAACATTTAAACACACATATATAATATTTCTGTAAAGTCAATATTAAACTGACATATAAAATTAATTATTAATTTTGAAGATTTGGATTTTTACATTGCAAAATATGTATATCTCAAATGTGATGGCGAGAAAATTGACTTTGGAATTAGTTTTATATTGCATGACTATGTCCAATTGTGCACTGAGACTTGCCGTCTGCCCGTTAGAATCGCACATTAACGTGGCGTGATACCTGAGAAATGAAAAAATCGTCGGCTATATAAGAATCTGGCAGTAATTTTTAGTAACCTCGAATTTAAACGCCGCATCGTATAAGTTCGAGTATTATCATATATAACTAATGTGGCAATTGGTGTAGCACTTAAGCGGATTGTGCTTACAATATATGATGACGTAATGGACAATCATGATTGAATTTCATGGAAACTATAAGCGCTGCTTATCTCGAGACATTTCTATTCGAACTCCGTGTGGGGATAATATCACAGTCTCTCTCTCTTTCTCTCTTTCGCGATTTTTTTCTTCCTTTCTTTATCTCTCTCGATGAATAAATGCATTGTCCCATTCTCATCCTCGAAAATCCACCGAGTACGCATTTCGACATAATCTTTATTTTATCCGTGCAAAATATTAACGCGGGTAAATGTGTACGTATATGTGTGCGAAGAACTGATATGTATTTTAATGTGAGTGGTCTTCACTAAAGCTGTAAATACCCAGATAATTTAAAACGGGAATTATCCGAAATAATTATTATGCGATTACAAAAGATCCAAGTATCTGAATCTTAATAAGAAAAAGAGTTAAATGCGGATTTGCGAATTTATCTTGGCAAATAGATTTGGAATATATATATAGGTATTTATCGATCGCAAAAGATACAAAAAATGTAAAACTATTTTATAGCTTGATGCGATTCTGAATTGAAAATATCGTGAATTCCGAGTAATCTGAGAACGTCAAGAGTTGGATTATCCGAAAATCCGAACGTGAGTAAACGAATAATTATTTCGGATTATTTTGATATATCCACAAAATCCGGACTGTATTTACTGCCTCTCGCTTCACGATAAGAAAATATTATTTCAGAGGTAGTGCGGTTACTGGAGGAGGAAGATCGCGTCTAGTATAAGTCGTGTGGATTATGCGACGGGGCGGCGCGACCGAACGTATCTACTCTGCCGCAACTCCGCGAGAAGGAGGAAGACTTTTTTCTGAAAATATCCTGGCGGCCGCCCGCCGACAGGGTCGCTTGTCGCGCAAGTGGTAAGGAACCCGCGCATGCCGGCCCGTCTCATTGCTCATCGAGATCTTCCTGCGTGGACAATCTCAACTTCCTTTACGATTGACTGAAGTGAGACGTTGACGTGATTTTTCCAAATGTTCTGTGACGTGATTCCAAATGTTCTATGTAATCCCTGGCCTAACAGAAACTCGGATCTCATTTTTTTACAGTTTCAATTAGTTTATAAAGATCAGAACGTATATATCTGTGTATTAAGAAGAAAAGAAACCCGCGTTGCGTCTCTCCGAATCTCGCGTTGAGAATTATTTTTATATTCTGCATCGAATTGATCGTTCGCACGGTTAACAATTAAAAAAAAAAGAAGTTAGCGTTTTTGTACATGTTAAACGAATAACTTATACGATGAAGATCTTACAGATACATACATAATTCTACTCTACATGTATAAGAAAAATTAATTTGTCAAACGTGTTGTACCTTAATAAACTTATAAAATTGTTAAAATTAATATTTGTCTAGTAAGAAATATAGAGATCGTTAAGCATAATCAATTAATATATCCTCAACAACGATAACCTCTTTCAGAATGACGGACGCGCAGATATATTAAAAATTGTATTTTTGCATCGCAATTTTTTCTGATCTTACCCCTTAAGTATGATGATAATATGATAACGCTATAAATATTCGCGATATCGTAAAAGTTACCGCTTCCAGAAGGATTAATAATTGACCTAATTTTTACGAGATAATGTCTAATACGTTTGGATTAAAAAAATGACAAAACGCTTTGGGCACTTTCGCAAGGCGAGCTCTTAACCCGCGGAGCCATAAAGTATATTTACCTAGTAAACACAGTCTTATGCGGAAAACAAACACAGTTATAACTATTTCTGCTTAACGCCTGCTCATTTATGTTACTTACGCTAATTTCGAGAGACGGTTTTATATTTCATGTTTCGCGCGTACCCGCTTATTAGATATTTTACATTTATTGCAATTCCAGCAGTAGACCGCGTTTTATTCAATTTTGCATGGCTCCCTGCGAAAACGGCGAAAATTTCGCTCTTCGAGAAACGCTCGGTATGCGGTGTTCAAGAATCTTTGATAAGGTGCATCGCACATATGAAATTCATATAGAAATGTGCCGTACGATACGTGCAGTTCGCGTATCTTTCATCGTGCATATCCTTGATATGCACCTGTTGCACACGATTCATGGATCTGTCAAAGAATAACCCTTAAATGATAGAAGCGTCAAATGTACGACCGCATTATATATAATCGCACATCAAAGCTGTACTTGCTGCTCTCTCTCATATTTATATGATGGTGCTTCAATATACATATTACTGTTCTCGTGTAACGCAGGCATTTCTCCCAGTGTTACGTATCGTCGCATCGATTCCATGAATCGTAACGTTTCTAAAAAATTCGTTTTATATATCTATTATATTTATTGTCACTTAAACATATTTTTTCAAAGAAATAACTTATTAACGAAATGCTACATAGTAACGTTTTCGTTATTCAAATATAAGATTCCTTTAAATTTACGAAATGATTAGAATATGCTGATATATGGTGACATAAGAGACAAATTTTTAAACGATTCATCGAATAACTGTGTTTGTTTTGACACATTTTTCAATCAATTTTATATGATATTTTAACTATAACGTATACGTTATTTACTTATCAGAAGTATTTAAAAAGGTTTATAAGTATCTCTCTTTACAAAGCTACATTACTTGCTCGCTGCATTACATAAGAAAATATAGAATTTACTGCGTAAATTATATAATTATAATAAGATGAACGTCGCAGCTCAGCAGCATTATAAAATAATTATTCGCGCAAAAAAAATGCAGATCGTATTGTAAGTAATAAAATAAAATCCCACGACATTCTATATTCTTCTGAAATATTCAAGAAACATTCGAAAGTTCTTCTTGCGAGATGTGTAACAAAATAGAATAAGGTTTAATCGACTTTACAAACATAGACACTGTGCAGAGATGTTTAATAAAATTTTTTCAACACAGTTCTGCAGTCTGGATTATTTTTTGATCAAACATTCTTTTTCACTCTCTCTCTCTCTCTCTCTCTCT